TTGGAACTGTTTATTTCTTAAGATCCTTTGGGTGAGTTTTTAGGGAAGATGGATGTGAGCAGGAAACTTATTCAAACATGAAAACTCATAAGATAAAAATAAAACTAGTTGCAGTTGTTGATCTGTTTTTATAAAGGCAGGCAGAAAAGACATGTGAGTTTCAATCAAACCAGCTGCTGTCCTACTACATCTTTAGAGCTGGATATTATAGTGAGCAGAGTACAGCGATTCGTTTTTTCTTTGTTTTGTTTAAAATCCCCATGACTGACTGAAGCCCCGCCCCACACTGTATCCTATTGGATGGCGCACGGAAATGTCAGAGCATGATCAATCTAAAGTTCAACTCTGCTGATCTGAACAGATAACAGAGTGAAATTTTCACACATTGGCATGTGTTCACGCCTGCTGTCCATCAACGTATCATTCTCATTGAAATCAGTGAGCAACGCAGCATAAATCTGCAGTCACATAATAGAGTCATCTTTAATAGAGCTGCAGATTAGAACTGAGAGATTTGATGATATAATATTGTTATCCTAATAATTTACACCACAGTAAACATTTCTATCATAAGTAATTAAAGCATACCTTTCGTCTTATTGTGGCGAGATTACAAGGTCGAACCCTACATACACCGGCCATCTATTACTGGCCCTCTTTAGCTAGATGTAGTAATATGCTGGCCAATGTAGCAATGTCAAACACTGAGTAAGAAGAATCACTGCACATATACTTTACATATAGTTTTGATAACATTTTCTGTTCCAACTGAATTTTCCAACTGCTCCAACTTCAGAAAATCAAAAAAATCAGGGGCCAAGGCCTTTGAACTTAGTAGTACTTCAAAAAGGTTTAAATAAAAATATCTGGAGTAAAAATATTTTTTTTCTCTCTTGGAAATGTTCCATTTCAATAATACGCAAGTGAAATGCAAATTTTCCGAAACAGCACTTAAAAACAGTTTATACAAGTACTTAAGTATCTTCTACCCCTGGCAAAACGTCATCAGCATTTTGTAGGAAACTGTATTGAAGTTTTGAATTAGAATTACACTGATTTTTAAAAGTTGTGCATAGTTAAATATTTAATATGTTAACAATGTAAGTTAGAGTGGTTTGAGTGGTTTCTCCATTCTAGAGGAACTCATGGAGCCCGAATTGTTTACAGTGGTGTTGAGAGGAACCAAACGTCTGAGTTTAGAGGCCACCTCACAAAAAGTTCTTTGTTGCAACGGTTTCAACGGTTTACGATAGTTCTCAGATAATGTTTTGGCCTAAGACATGTTTTGATAAAACACATTCATGGTGGAGGGGTGCGTGCTGCATGCCGAAAGGCAAATTAGATTTACCACTTTTGTTCCGTTATCAGCATTAGATATGAAAAGTCAGAAGACGTGTGGGTTTACTGGTCATTTTGGACAGTAAATAAAATGTTTATGGTTGCATAGTAGACACTGCAACCCCTGGTTCCTATCACAACCACTGTAAAGACACTTCAGTCAGTAAGTTTCTCTACAATGAACCAGTTTATATCAAAACATGCAGAATGGCCATGTTCAAATCTGAAAGACTGAATTATGCAGACATTTAAAAAAAGTGGAATTTCCCTTTAAGGTTAGCATTTCAGAGAGGAATAGCAGAAGTCACCTGGCCTGGTCAGACAGTTTGCTTTAGGCTTGGTTGGTTATGCAAGTGGAGCTGCTCATAAAGGCCTGGCAACTAAACCTGCACTCACCTCGCAGTCACAGAGGGTCTTTATTAGAGCCGTGGATGTGAGAGCCCGTAGTCTGCTCTCTGTCGCAGCTGTCTCTCCGAGAGTCAGCATGTTTACAGAGCCAGGCCTGCTGGGAAGAAGGACAAGGAGGCCCTGCCAAGGCCAGCTTCCAGCACACTGCCTGAACCAGACTGAACCCCCTGCACAGCGGGGGTCCGCACTCCAGCTGATCTCCCGAATTGACTCCAAAACCAAGTGCAATAGTAAATGGAGGGATTTCTAAATAAGCTACAAACAGAGAGAAAGAGTTGACCTCTTCTCTGCTCTAAGCTGCTGCCCCACATTGCCTCTGTGGGGAATCTACTGCCTAGTGCAGACAGTGCAGAGTTCAAAACACATCACTTGGGAGATGGCATTGAGTTGGAAATGATGATTTAGGCAGCTGAATCAAACTTTTATTTTGAAAAAAATATCAAGCAGTGGATTAATATGCTTGATCTGAAGCAGAAATGCAACGGTTCCATATTGGCAAAATTCCATATTGTTTTTGTGGTAGTGTAAAAATATCTCCAACCACAATAGCGTATTAAATTTATTTCTGAAAATGATTCAGTATAGGGGTGGGTGCTATGGCAAAAATATCACATCACAAGACTTTTCACAAGAGATTCTCACAATACACAACATATATCAGAATATCTTGACACAGACACCATGCACTAGTAGTGCCACATTTAAAAATGGTCCTCAGTTTGATATCCTGGAAAAATTCTTTTTCCTCACTTTTTTTAATTGAAAGAAACATTTCTAATGTTTCAAAATGTACCATTCACTCCTCAGCCACACTGCCCATATATGGAAACTTGCTGCAAAAACAGCCAGATTTAAATATACTGTCTGTGATTTCACACATCTGCTGAAGCAGCCAACAGCAGTTTAGCCCTGCCCATTCACACTGAAGTTATACGGAGTGTTTCAGGCTGGACTACTTTTTGAATGAAGCACAATTCAGGGCAGCCATTTAGCTATGTTGTATTTTAAGGGATAAGGAGAGGTTGGAAAATGGTCATGTAAAGAATGTTTTTCATGCATGAACCCAAACATCAAACGTGGGGCTTCAGGAAAAAGCATAAAATACAAGCAAATGGTAGGATATGGGCCCGTTAAGTACTGACGATTCACAATGTGTTTATCATGATAACGATAAAATATCGTCATATTGCCAACTTTTAACTTAGAACTATACAAAAATAATAAAATCTAATCAAATCATGATAAAAGATTTTAAAATGCACTGAATCATATCCTAAAGAATCATAATGGAACCTATTCGTTGTGAGGTCAGAGATGTGTACCCTTGTTACGAACTGTTCTTTTTTATTTCTTTCTAGTTATTCCAGGGCATCAGCACTGAAAGAGGTGCAAAACCAGTTTACAGTCATTAACCATTACCAAGCAAACATTGTGCCTCTTGCAAGTATGCTCAAGATCCACCATCATTACACATACCCCCACAGCTTTGCATAAATATTGACATTTTATGTAAGACTTTGATAGAAACATGATGAAAATCAGGTTGTTGATTTTGTAAATGAAAATAAACACATCCTGTACAGATAACAAACACAAACGTGGCAAACTTCTGCAAGGGCACAAATTCTACTTATTGGCAGATTTTAACATATTCAAAAAGAGAAGACATAAAATATGAAATGTGCCAGAAGTTCTGCACATGACACATTTTACTTTTTTCCCCCCAAACATTCAATTCAGCAAATAAACAGAGAATGAAAATGTGCTTAAATATGGCATACCTAAATTTGGCATATTTCTGCAAATAAAAGGCACAGTATCTATTCATGTCTTTCTTTTTTCCAGTATGTAAAATTAAGCAAATAAATAGTAACTGTGCATTAAAATTTGGAGAGGTTGGCCCCCTTCGGAGGATGTGTTAACTTATTTGCAATCTGAGAATCAACAAAACATGTCATTCAACCAGCAGCGCCCAAACCTTTTCACACACTAAGGGTAGGAAAGGATATTTAAGGCTACTTCTTAATTTTAATGACGAAAACTAACTTTTATCTACGGAAATATAACTTCTTACTCACTATGTTAGACATTTCAGCTTAACTACGGAGTCATTCTAAAAAGCACACCCACAGATTTTTAACCACTCTGGTGTGGAACTATAACAGGGTAATGAGCCATGTAGCCTGAGTTGGGCAGAAACTACATTTACCAAGACACAATGATGGATCTGTACTTTTCTGAGCATTTTCAAATAATACTTTTACTCAAGCTTGTACTCTTTTTCCCCCTCAGTTCTATTTTAGTCCTTCACACTGTTTCCCAATTCATTTCTTGCTATTAAAGGGGATCTCTGATATTGCAAAATGACCACACCATTTAATGATTAAGATGTAAACAGACATAGTGGACTGACGTGAAACACTCCACACTAGAGAAGCTACAATCAGAACTGTTCACAGTTGTGGTGATAGGAACCAGACATCTGAAAAGTGTTTAATGAATCTAAAAGCTTCCTTACAGAAAGTTATTACATGAAATGGTACAGTATGATATCTGAGACATCACTTTATGATAGTTTCAAGGTAAGGTTTAGGCCTAAAACAGGCGTACAAGGCAAAATAGTACCCAAGAAGACGTGTAGGTCCACTGGTCATTCTGGATAGGAAATAAAATGCCTATTTGTGTATGGTAGACATTGTGACCCCCTGGCTCCCATTTCCACTATCTGCCTAACCAACTATCTCTACAACTAACCATTTTACATTCAAACACCCTGAACGATGTTTATTGACTGAATAATGCAAGAAATATTGAATTCCACAGATTTTTCATCTTTAATTTTATAACTTTGTTTTTTTCAGATCCTAAATTGCTTAACTGTTGCTCACACCATTTGCTGTTGGAGCAGCATTTTATTTTAAACCAAAATCTTCCAAAAAAAACCCAGAAGAACATCACCTAACTATCTTCCCACACTAAAAGATGACAGACCTAAAAGGTTCCACTACAGTTCTACAAGAAAGCCACTACTTGAATAGTATAAGCTGTTTTTGATAGCTTGCCTGTTTTAACCCCTATTTGAGTTACTACTTCAGTGCAGTAACAGCACCGTTACTTCAGAACAGCTTTAGGCACCTTTCAATTTAACTGATCCAGCGCAACAGCAGCAGCATCACATCCAGAAACACAGAAACTACACAGGCAGCCCAGTCTAAGTCACATAATGCCTCTTTTGTTACCCATCCCAGCCTCACCTTTTCTCCGCGCTCCTGCTGCCAGCACACATCGTCCTCTTCTGACGCTTCATCCACCAAAACTTTGCTCTTGCTCTTCTTAAACATGATGGCGGACTGAGAGCAGCGCAAACGCTCCCACGCAGGGAAAAAAACACAACGATCCTGGATTCAAAGGCACACGGAGGGAGGTCGTAGGTGGACGAGTGCAGCGACAATAAAGCTAGGCTAACATTTCCTTCTCTCCTTCTGTCTACCACACTCTTCCTCCAGCTCCAGCTCCGACTCCGGCTCGTCCCACCCTTTCTCTCTGTTTCTTTAATCCCCAGTCTGTGTGGTCTGAGCAGGGTGAAGCACCTGGAGCTCCGCTCCTCCCCCACGCCCCTCGGATCACGCTGCTGCCGGCCAGCCAGTCGTCTTCGCGTGCAAAGCTCTGAGGGAGGGCCGCTCCTGCACTGACCCTCCTACCTGGACACGCAGACTCGTTTCTTTATTGATGCTATCTCCTCTCCAGCTGGAGTAGCCTTCTATTAGCTTTGGACTGCTTACTAAAAAACTTATAACCTAGAGTATATTTAAATGTGCTGATCTAGGATCTGTTGTTTACGGAGCTCCTAAGGTGATGGTAATTTTAATAAGGCGGGGCCACGAATGAATATATTGATGCCATGCGTTAGATTTCTTATAAATATTAAAAATATGAATTTGTGTCCTCAATAAATTAAGTAGTTGCCTCAGTATAGTTGATGGTAGCCTCACTGTGGGAGCGCGGTGGGCGTGGCCATGCAGAGCTGCCGTGCAAGGAGGCTCTTGGGAGGTGCAGTGTTAGCAGCAGGAGAGACATTTACTGTAAATATGTTATTGTTGTGGTTGTTAGCTTGAAGATGTGCACATGTGTTACTTGGGCTATTCTGTGCTGGGCTTTCGGGTAGTTTGTGTGGGGTTAGTGCTGACCGTTTAGGAGAAAGTCTATGGCTTGAAGTGTCCTGGCTGCCATCATGAGCGTAGTTGCACTCTTAGGGGGGTTTTGTCTTGCTCCAAGGTTAATGAGTAAGTACTTAGCTTAAAACTGTTATGTTTAGTATGTCTTCTTCTATATAATTGTCACAATAGAATAATTTGTGGCCTTGTCATAGTATTTTGTGAATTCAATATAGTAACCTGTGGCTCAATATATTAATTTGTGGCTTTAATATAGTAATTCCCTCACCTTTAAAGTCATATGTTTACTGTGTCTGCTGCTATATAATTGTCACAATGTAATAATTTGTGGACTCAATATAGTAATCCATGGCCTCAACATAGTAATTTGTAGATTCAGTATAGTAACTTGTGGCTCAATATATTAATTTGTGGTCTCAATATAATAATTTGTGGACTCAATATAGTAATTGTGGCATCCATATAGAATTTCATGGCCTCAGCATAGTAGTTTGTAGATTCAGTATAGTAAATTGTGGCCTTAATACATTAACTTGTGGATTCAAAAAAGTAGTGTGTGGCTCAATATAGTAACTTGTGGCCTCAGTATAGTAATTCATGGCCTCAACATAATAATTTGTGGATTCAATGTAGTAACTTGTGGCTCAATATAGTAATTTGTTGCCTCAATATAATGATTTGTGGATTCAATATAGTAACCTGTGGCATCCAAATATTAATTTTTGGCCCCACTATATTAGAAAATAATGCCATGTAACCTTGGGGACTCCGTAGTTGTTCCCATTGATGGAAGCTTGCAAGCTAAAGAACCAGCAGGTTACTGTTAGCTACTAAAAAAATAATTAATTTTCCATGATCATTTTCTAACCTATGTTTACTGCTTAGAACTAAACAGATTGTTTTTGTGATGTTTTTAATATATGTAAATTAACTCTGTTCTGCCTGGCTGCCCTGTATTGGTCCTCATTCAAGAAATAGTCCAAGCTGAAACACCCCTTATAACTTCAGAGTGAATGGGCAGGGCTAAACTGCTGTAGACTGCATAGGGAGGTATAAATGTGTGGGTGGTTTTTCGTGACATCACAAAAACAATGAATTTCTAAATGGGCTGTTTTTGCAGCTTAGTTTCCATAGTTGGACTGTGTGGACTGGTGAGTGAATGGTTTGTTTAGAAACTTTAACAATATTTACATAGAATATCTCTGATTTATTTAAGAATAGTGTTACAAACTCCTTTATTAAACAAAAAAGAGAAAATATAGTTTTCCAATATACAGGCCCTTTAATCAGAATTCTGATGAGGTATTTTCAAGTAGTAGCTGCTTCGTCATTGTTCACCCCTCTCATTTTGGAGGTTCAGTTACCTTTATTTTAGTCTGGAAAAAGAGATGAATAGAGCCTAACAAACTTCCCAACAAAGTTCCTATGCTGATAGATTCTTGATGAACTAAAAAGTTTCACTTCACTTCTGTATGCAATGCAATACTTTTTTAGTTGTTTACGTCTTTATTTCACTGTAGTAACATAACTATTGCTTATGTCACTCTTTTACCCACGGATATATGAGCAGGCCAGACTTCTTCAGCCCACTTCTTCATAGTCTTGGTAAATAAGGGCCTTAGTGTGATGTTTAGTGTATGTCAGCCTATGTTCTGCCGGGTCAGATTTCAAACAGAAAACAGTCTATAAGAATCAGAAACACCTTCTAGTCCACATTTGTGTTTTAAACGGCGATTTGCATTCGAAGCATTTGGGAGCGGTGCTGTCATGTTCCACTGCTTTTCTGAGCCTGAAGCCTCTCTTGGCAGATCATTAACTGCTGCCCACAATTGCATAAACATTTTTACCATGTCTAGATAAACAGCAGAGCTGCAGAGTGCTACCAGAGCTGCTAGCTGGCAGGACAAACCAACACAAAGCGTGGTCAGGGGCTTTTCCTCTCAAGTAAAGAATGATTTTATTGTGGAGATTCCCGGGATATTCTTGACTGATGCAGTGCAGGCGCCTTATAGAGTCTCTGCTCTCTGCTTAAAGCAATATTTCAGTGCCAAATCTAATTTACATGGTTCTTCCCCTTTCAACTAAAAGTAGTAAATTAGCCAAGACATGTTTGGTGTCTTGTTAAAGGAATTCGACCAATTTTTTTTTTTTTTTTGACAAATTTCAGCATAATTCACTGGTTGAGATGTGGACAGAGTCATTCAGCGTTATTTGGTGTGAAATGGTTCATTGTAGAGAAACTTATATTCTCAGATTTCTTTACAGTTGTGTTTATAGGAACCAGAGGTCACAACATCTACGACACGAATATAGCCATTTTATTTACTATCAAAAACCACCAAGCTTTCTGAGCTTTCATATGTAATGTTGGTGAAGGTAAAATGTCAGAAACTTTTCATTAGGGACTGTTCTGCCTTAGATCACTCTTCATATACCCCTTCGCCATGAACAGGTTAAAATACATGGATTAAAATACATTTCAAGCCAAATGTAAATCACAAAACCATCATAAAGCAAATGTCTCAAGCAAATGTCAGGCATGAGGCAGCACAAACATAGCCATTTAATTAGGTTTTAAACGCTTCAGACGTCTGGTTCCCATCACCACCACTGTGAACAATTCTAACTTGTAATTCTAATTCGTAAGTTTCAGAATGAAGCATTTCACACCAAACCACCCTAAATGATTTTGTTAACATCTCGACCATTCAATGAGAAAAAGATGGTCTCTATTCAGGCTTCAAGATAGCTGCTATCACTGTTTTAACTATGCAACATATGTTTTGTCCAGTTTCATGAACAACAACATTTCATATAGTGTCAGAAACTCTTTTTGAAAATGAATTTTCCACTGATTTGTAAAAGTTTTTGTGTAATTACATCATTAATATGCAAACAAAGTCATTCAGAGTGGTTTGATATGAAATAATCCTAAAGCAACTAAAGCAACTAAATTGTTCACAGTGGTGCTGATAGGAACCAGATGTCTGAAAAGTGTATTGCTTCTGAAAGCTCCTGAATATGCCACCTGATGCCTGAGACATTGAGTGCATTTACATGCACTTAATAATCTGATAACTGCAGAAAATCAGATTGTGTCAATTATCTGATCAACGCATTTACATGCACTTGAGAAATCAGATCTTGGGGAAACTCCAGGTCTACATGAGTCATGCAGTAATCTGCTTTGGATTTCTGCTTTGCAACCGGCCAATAAACTCACTCTTGTGATAGTACAATAACGGACCTAATTAGCCTATGCTACTTGTTAGCGTGATGCTAATTGCTAGGATATATTGTAAAATCCATTACTTGTTAGCTTCTTTAGCCTCATAGCTCCAGTAGAAAACTAAAGGAGCAAGCTTCAGACACCAAACACGTCTAAGCTATCACATCTTCCTACACCACACTTTCATTGGCCGATCAAATAAATATGTGGTCAAGCACAAAAACTGTTTAAATGATTCTTTTAGCCAAACTATCCCTTTTATTATTACTAGATGGCAAAAGCCCTCATGGTCTCCAGTGCACATGTTGTCAGGATTTAGGCAGGTAAAGGCAAGTACAAGCTGATTTTTATGTTTAGGGACATGAAGTTCAGCCAGGAAAGGCTGCTCCAGCAGACATGTGTAAGGTCACCCTTACTCATGTTTTTCTGCTGTTGTCTGTAAACAGAAAGGCAGGTGGCCTGTTGAGGACATTCTGTCAGTGTCAAGTCAACACAAGCATGATAAGAATCTGAAAGCAGTCAGAAGAGCTTCTCTGAACAGAAATGCAGTGATGTGCATCTGCGGGTGTGTTACATGCCATGTTTACATGTGTGTGCACCTGATAGTGACAAACCTACATTTATATGTCAGTCTGCAGAAGGTCAGAAGGTCGAGAAGATCTATAGACAAAAAATGCAACCTTGGGAAAAGCGGTCAGGCCATGACCAAGACAGGTGAAGATACGTGTAGCAAACACCTTAACCCCCTTCAGTACCATTGATGGACTATATTTGGACGGAAAAACTGTAAGCAAACTGGATTTTCATCTTCATAGCAGGTTAAATCAACATTTATGAAAGTGTTTTGATAGTGTGTGAATGCTAATTTGCTGTTTTATCTCAGCCCGGCCTTGACCGAATAGCAGCGTCCTTGTGGAGAGGTGCAGCAGGCGGTTCTCTTACCTCCCTTCTACCCCTTATTGCTCACTAGCTGCTCAATGCAGAGTCCCACTAGCAAGCCTGCAGAAAGAGACTACATTACATTAAAAAAGACAGCAGAAATAAGTAATACATTGAATTGCCTTCAAATGATTACATCATGTGTAGATTATATCCTATATTCATGTTAATGTAATAAATTTTGTTTATGTTTTAATTCACACACATTATCTAAGCTGCTTATCCTCCTTGGTCACAGGGGGAGCTGGAGGCTATCCCAGTGGTCACTGGACAGAAGGCAAGAAACACCCTGGACACGTTAGCAGTCCATCGCAGGGCGGACACACAGACATTATGATGCTGTCAGAACAAAACCTTGTCTCTCTATTTTTGTCATTTTTCAGTTTTTGGCACAATTTGAAAGTGCCTGTTGCCCTGTATATTGTTTGTAAATTTCATGATAAATGGACCAAAAGAAATGACCCAAAATTAGTTGGAAAACATCTGGTTCCACCGACTTATATTAAAAGTGAAATATGTTTTTTCCTTCTCCTGTAAAGTTACCATTTTGGATGGAGACAGTTTTGTTCTGACAACAGCAATACACAGTCACAAACACATTCACACCTAGGGGCAATTCAGCTTCTCCTATTGGCCTGTGTTAGGAAACCCTCACAGACACGGGGAGAACATGCAAACTCCACACAGAAAGGACCCTGGTCACCCAGCCGGGGAATCGAACCCAGGCCACTGTGCCACTGTGCCACCTGTTTTAATTCAATGATGTACATATTTGAATCACTTGAAGTAAGAGCAGTGTAATTTCTCAGTGTTCCTGAGGACATGCTAGCGGAAAGTATTGCTTAATTGCTTGTATTTAAATCTATTCAAATGTAAATCCCAGCTGTAGGGTGCAGACTTCTCTACGAAACCAATCTAGTAATTATATTTGTGCTGAAAT